AAATACGGCATGAAATTGTTCCAAAGCTTCGTTTACATCACTAATTTCATTTAGAAAGGACCAATTTGCCAGAGATAAATGAGCATAAAGTGAGGAAAATTTGCCTTTCTAAAGTTGTACCTAATACTGTTGCAATTATACGCAAACAATGGATTTGATTTTAGAAGGCAAGCTTCAATTCTTAGTGCGGGGAAACCATCCCCCTTTACAAATGGTCGAGTATCATGAAGCCATTCCCCTTTACAAATGGTTGAGTATCGTGAAGCCATTCCCCTTTACAAATGGTTGAGTATCTTGAAGTACATGGCATTCAATATTTGATAAAACTAAATCTAAAATACGATCATTTTTATTAAGTATATAATAAGATTGTTCAAGTTCATAGAAACTTATAAAGTTGTTTAAGTATATTAAACTTTTGGTTTTATTGACAAAGTGTGGATTGTTGATAATAATAATAATAATAATACTCTCCCTAATACACCCCCTTACGAGTGAATTTCAACCCCTGAAGTCGACTGAACGACTTGTTTAGGGGAAGGGACGGCTATTATTATTATTTGCCAAGGCGCTCCGGGGCGACTTAAGGATGATTGATGGTGCCATTTGACTTACAGGTGAGGAAAACCTCACCCACCATCATCGAGACGATAATGTATGGCGATTTTTATAATCTGCATGTCATATATCAACAGAAATTGAATTTCCATTAATACGGCACACATCAAATCCTAAACCGAACCATGCAATTTAATTAAAAATCCACATGGTCTGGTCTGGGATTCGAAGCCCAGCAGTCTCGGACTCAAAGATAAATTATTTGTACACATATAAGTAGGTACAAAAAATGCATTTAACATCTGTGTGCGCTAAGCTATCGATATATCAAACTCTCTCGCACATATAAACGAGTTTGAATTTAAATGCGGTTACAAGTTCTGATGTAAAAAAACGTGCCGCGATTCCAGAAGGTTCTGTCATGAAATTATTAAGTCCGACTCTGTCTAAGCCAGCCATACTCAACCTTTTTTTCCTTCGGGCCACATTCGTATATATGCTATGTTACACGGGCCGCAATATTTTTGGATGACCTTTTTTTAGGACATCTATCTAAAATTAGTTAGTGAGGACCTCTAATAAATAAAACACAAAAAATAAATATATCCCGTTGTGTTACTGCAAAAACAAGATAACTCATATTTTTAGAGTTTCGATAAAATACTATGCAAACGTTTAAAACTGAATAAAAAATCAGTAAAAGCTTCAAACGTTTAACTTCAATGAAAAAGGTATTGAAAACATTGTTTACAAAGTATTAACTAATAATATATCAATAATTGGTAAAAAAAGAAAGAAAAAACGTCACTTAGCTTATTTTAGCTCTACATACAAATCATAATTCAATGTATGTGTCACTATCTTCAGTCGAAGTTTCAGTAACATTATTGGATACAGGTTGATTGTGATAATAATGGTGAAATTCATCAAAGATTTTGCATCTTTCTTCTTGTACTTTTTTGTAAGTATTTTCAAAACTTTCATGCATCCCTCTGAATAAATACTGTGCGAGTTTGGCATATAAAGCCGAATTCACCACCCTCGCTCATTGATAAATTAAATCTATTTTTCTGGTGGAATGTGTTTAGGATAGCTGAATCTTTCGATACGTTGTCTATTAGAAAGTATGGTTAAAATTTAAATTCGCCAGTTACCACTAATACTTTTATTTCGGAATTGTAAGAATTTCAATAGTCTCTCGACATTAACTTCCCTATATTTTAGCTTAGTTATGACAAAATTAGAATATTCATCAATAATATGGCATCCTATATACATTTATTATTCAGAAAATTCAAAAGAAATTCTTAAGTTTTAAATTAAATGGATTTTATCCTCCAAGAGGTTGTAACTACCTAGATTTACTACATCAATTTGATTTTGTATCATTAGAACCACGTAGAAATCAGGCATTTGTTTTGTTTTTGCATAAATTATTAAATGGTCAAATTGACTGCGCTTTGTTGCTCTCTCAAATAAATTTTTTTGTACCTAGGATAACATCTAGACATAATATTACATTTCTAAGTAAACGAGCTCAAACTAATTTGAAATCAAAAGCGCCAATTACCTTAATGTGTAGTAATGCAAACAAACTATCAAATATTGTAATATTTTCTGTTGCAGTATATGTGAACTAAAAAACAAATCAAGAGCTTATCTTTGAATTCATATTAATTTTTTATTATTTTCTACTTTTTACTTTTATTGTAATTTATTTACTTATCTTATGTATTTTCTTAGTTCAATTTTATATTGTTAAATTTGCCTTGTAAATGGGAAACTGTTGGGCAATAAATGCTTTTATTATTATTTACGAATTTTCACATAAAGATTCGCTCGTTACGGCTTGACAAATCACTCGTTACAGCTTGACCAATCACCCGTTACATCTTGACCAATCATTCGTTCACCACGGAGATTCGAACATCACGTGTTATTATCTAGTGGTTGTTTTAAGGTTAGCTGTATTGCGGGAAGGGTGACGTAATCATCTCGTGGATTTCATAACAATCGAGAAAGGCCAGAGACGGCTCTAGTCATAACAAAACAAATGGCGTGGGTACAATGTTGTAATATTTGTACAAACACATTCAACAAAAATAAGTAGCGGAAAACCCATCCCGAAATACCGGTACGTTTTCACTAGAAATCACCGAAATCACTACACATTTTCTCGAAAATTCCAAAATCCTCATCTAAAATCATGGTCGAAATCAATTCGTCGCTCACAACTCGAAATGGCGAGAACAAAAGATCATCGTATGAAATTAAGGTGGATTTTTAGTAAAATCACATAAATTACATAAACATTTTTTAAGTAATTTCCGAAATACAGGTACGTTTTGACCTTATTGGTTTTTCCTCGGTTCTGGCCTTTATCTTTCTTTGGCAGGAACATTATTAAAAATCGGACTATATATATATTTAGCAAAAATAAGTTATATGCCTATTATCTGATTTTGGTAGACACATTTATCAATTGAACACAATGCTATGATTATGTTTTGGTATAAATGCCACTTGTTTGTCCATATTGCTAATGTAATAACATGGAGTTAGTTTTAATTGGCTATCTGTTTATCATGAATATAGACTTCTTTAACACTTGTAGAAAGTGTACCTACTTAACTCGAAATTTCAAAAGTGAAGCTATCTTGTTTTTGCAGTAACCCCACAAAATTTCAAACGTTTATTTAAAAATTAGCATGCTATTTAGTGCTGCGACCAATATTAGTGTTGCGGGCCACAAAAAAAGCTTGGAGGGCCGCATGCGGCCCGCAGGTTGAGTATGACTGGTCTAAGCAGTTCAATAGGCCATTGGTAGGGATGGCGCATAAATAGAAACGGCTGTCCAGTTCGCCGGTCAATTGCATTCTTGTATCTCACAACGCATTACATAGTTTCTCGTTTTTCAGATAGTTTGTGCATCTCTTACAAGCTGGTTCACTGACCGGGATAGATTGTCACTTCATCTCATGTTATGTTGGGAATGGGGTGTTAATACACTGCGATCTAAAAGATCTATTGTGCCCCCCTTCTGTCACTAATGCAGCAAGGAAATGTCTCCTCGGTATAGTGCCCTTGGATTCTGGAGTGCTACACATTCAGAATGTGAATGGAGGTTTCGTCCTCCTCACCGAATCTGCACTCACTATCTTCTAGTACTCTCAGTTTACTAAGGTGTCCTTTTAGTCGGCAATGCCCAATAAGGATCCCTGATACAATACGTAGCCTGTTCTTGCCCAGGCAGATGCAGGCTTCCGATCTTTTCTGGTTATATTCACCCAGAAGTATCTTAGCCTGTCTCAGCCCCAAGAGATTGTTCCAATTATCGGTTCTTCTACTGCCCAATTCTTTTTTAATCTCTCCTAATATGTTACTGCTGATACCGCAGAACGGCTCAGGTCCCACAAAGGGTGTTTGAGCCCCTTTCGTTGCAAGACTATGTGCAATCTCGTTACCCTGTACCCCGTTATGTTCCGGGACCCAATTTTTCTCGCCTAGCTCATTCGATTGTTCTAGGCTTCTCCAGACCTTTGTTGAGCTGATTACTTAATAGCTCAGCGCTTTGATGGCTCTTTGGCTATCGGGCATGATGATCTCTTGTCTACGATAGTTTCTCTCGATGTTAAACTGGATACATTTCTCAATGGCGTGAATTTTCGCCTGGAAGATGCTTGGGTATTTTCCCAAGCTTTCGGAGTGCTTGGTTCTCGGTCCATACCAGTTTCTTTTATCATTTTATCTCATATAAGCCAGCTCGTTGGCTGGTGAAAATAGCATTCGTGTATCTCACAATACACAATATAGATCATCAGTTCATCTCCAATCAGCTGGTTCGCCAGAGTGGTAGATTGCATTAACAGCTCATTCAGTTTAGTTACCAAATGAAATTATTTTTCTGGACAAATTAATAATTACAAATTATACAAAGTAATCTACAATATGTGATACTCCATTGTCAAGTTTAAAATGATTTCAAAGTTTAATAAATTGTGTTAATAAGATTGTGATCTTGGAATTAGAGCATTAAACCATCAGTTCTACTATCGATGACACATGGCAAACAGAGAAATTAATTATTGGAATCAATCAATAAATTGGTCTACCAGGGCCATCTTTATAAGGTGTGGTATAATTTTTATGACTCTATTCTACAACTTTTATACTAGTTATTACTCACCTGCATATCAAATGTGGCAAATATCTTTACAGACGCTATTTTTGTTTAATCAAAGTGAATTTCCTTTGTGGGCCTATTTTTTTCTTTTTATATAGTGTCGCAATAGTAGGAAGTGGGATCAAAAAATAAATTGAAGAGTTTTTATAACAATTTAGTTAATCGCAAAAGATCCAAAATAACAATATTTTCACTTAATACAATAAAAAAAGAAAGATTTTTTTGTTATTAAAATGATTTACATTCAATTTCAATTACTCTTATGGTAAAGTAAAATTATAAAAAATGAAAAATTATTAAAAATTAACAAGTATATAATAGAATTGGTTGCAAATTGTAAAACATACTGATACATTTTGCTGCCTGTAATTATGCAAATATATGTAATGCTTATACACCAAAAAATTAATAAAATTGAATGTAATAGGTATGATTTTTTCACCTCTGAGTACTTATTGGCAGATTAGCGAACTATAGCCTTTAGTATAATCAGCAAGTAGGTAAATACTTTCAACTTTACTTAGTGGTGAAAAGACTAGCCCTTAAATTTATATTTTTACAATGGTATTTCTAGAGTAGTTGAAAAATGTGTTTCATCAAAAAGATCAGTAGCACCTTCTGTGTCCAAAAATCCAAAATTGTAGTCCTGGGACAATTGAACAGGACTAAGGGGGACAAACGAACTCGGATCTACAAAAAAAAATCTCATAGAATTCTACTCTCTTGAGTCGGGGTTTCGGCTTAGCAGATCCACTTCAGAGTTTCCATTTCTGCACTGCAGCAGTACCGACAGTGCTTAGTACTTGGATGAGTGAGCTAGGAGACCCCAAATTTAAAGCTTAAAAGCTGCATGACTGCAAATCAATGAGTACATGTTTCGGGGAGACGTAAAACCTCTGGTCTGAGTCCATTGATTTTAACTTATTAAAGATCCCCTACACTATGTTGAATCATTAGAAGTTCGATAAAATATCGTAGGTAGAAATAGGTCAATGTTAAATAAAAGAAAAAAAAATGCCAAAAATAATGTACAAATTTTTAAAAACTTCTACATTGGGAATGGGTTATTTTTAGTAAAGCAACAAAATATTAAAATAATCACTTACCATTGCCATTTTGGTCCACTAATCTGCTCTGCCCCTCATAATAAGACCCTTTGTGTTTTTTAAATAAAATTTCAGCAGCTATTAAGTCTGGGTCATCTTCAACTCTATCTTTGTTTATAAATTCTATTCGGTTAGAATGTGTATCTTCTGATTCTTGTTTTAGGTGTATCACCTTGATAAAAAAAAACTATTATAATAAATACATTTTTAACTTACATGACGAAGGCTTAATTCTAACAAGTCGTAACCCACAATTTTTACAAATTCACTCTCAGTCACTAAAACCTCTTGTCCCAAATAAAATTATTTCTAGTTAATTCCCGCAATTTCTAACAAGTCCTGTCCCGCACGATACACGTGTCAGGAGAGAGTTTTAGGCCTCTATTGTAAAATTTACTCTTTGTGGGTTACGAGGTGTTAGGATTAAGCCATCGATGGGTATTTTTGTACACACTGCGCATCAGGGTGATTCATTTCCACAAAAAAAATTTTTTTTGGTGCTCAAGAAAATATTAATCTACATATAGAAAAAAAAATCTCACCAAGTTTGAGCTCTTAATATCAATATCAAGATTCTCATCAGAAATGCCATGCGTCAATGTGGAAACGCTGTTTTTAAAGGCCTCGAGGATTAAAATTCTTATGAGAATTTTAATTCTCTTTAAATAAACAGAGATAAATAATCAGTGAGTTCACACTGGCACTAAGGGCCCTAAAAATACTGTTTTACGTTGACATATGACATTTCTCTTGAGAAAAATGAATTCTCTCGAGTTTGAAAATAGCCCCCCAGATATTTAGCAGGAGTGAATGTCACTCGACATGTGTATCAGGAATAAGGAGGAAGTAAACCACAAAGCACATAGAAGGTTCTTTCGTTTGTCCCACTGGTGTAGGAATGAACTACACCAACGGCACTAAACTTTTCGTTTGGCCCAGTATAAAACCCACTGTACCTTCTTGTCGGCTATGTGGTGTCCACTGGGTAGCTATTCTTGAATTCCAGGGAATAGAAAACCGGTTGTTCTTATTTATCTGCAATGCACAAAATTTGTATTTGTGTCTTATTCTTCCCTCAAAATTTTTACTCCCTGAGATTCAAGAATAAATACCCTGGTGGATATACATGTGTCAGGAGAGTTTTAGGCATCTACTGTAAAATTTACTCTTTGTGGGTTACGAGGTATTAGAATTAAGCCATCGATGAGGATTTTTGTATACACTGTGCATTAGGGTGATTTCATTTCCGCAAAAAAAATTTATCGGTGCTCAAGCAAAATATTAATCTACATATAGAAAAAAAATCTCACCAAGTTTGAGCTCTTAATATCAATTTTAAGTACTTACTATTTAAATTTAAAGTTACCCAGGGGCTGGTAACTCAAATGGAAAAACATGAGGTTGGTAATTTAGTACCACTCCAATTAACGGGATGGCGCTCGTATCGAAATGTCATGTCAGTTGTCAGCTCGTCAAAACTTCAAGCTTGGAGAAATTAAAATGGCTATTGTATTTGAAGGTGTACAAAGGTGTATTGAATTTTGATTTATCTAGAATCTAGATTTATTTTTCGACACTTTCCAATTTTAAGCATGTTTTCAAACGATGGGAAGATGGACGTCAGCAATAAAGCACTCCCAGATATTGGTAGTGATGCAATTTATACCAAATTAAATATGCAGTCATCATATTAAGGATAAGCAAATAATTTTTAATAAGTGTCTTAAAGAAAAATGCACCATCACTGTTTGGTACTAACGGTAAGTAATATTTACAAACTTGTTTTTGATTCAGTGTTAAAATAATTGGTTATTTAAATTTCTTTTTGTTTTCAGTTTTTAAATGATCATTGTTGTAAAGAAAATGTTGGCCCTCCAAAATACCCTGTCAATCGATGAAATATTTGAGCCTCAGCCATCAATATCAAAAATTGATTCAATGCAATTGACATCAAACAAGAAAAGACCCTAAAATCTTCAAGGGTCCAAACGTGTGTAAGTTTAATTTATGCTCAAAAGTTAAATTCATTTATCACAGTGCCCACATGATAAATAAAAATTTGATAACTACAAGTGCTGTATAAATGAATCAAGAAAACAATTATCCGATGAAGATATGATCCTCAACCTAACTAGTTGACTCAATAACCGTAAGGCAAATTTTATCCACACTCAAATTTTCCTGGATAGTAAAAAAGGACGATGCTTCAACTTCAATTTTTTTAAATTTATTTGCCACTCCAAGTCGCAAAACTTTTATAAAGGTCTTGAGCACTTATATATGCTGATTTTGTTACAGAAAACATTTTTGATGGGTTTGTTTTATAAATATTTAATTATTTAAATGGTGTAAATGCATATTTGTTTGAGTATTTCCATGTTTAAAAAGACAAATTTACTATAATAAAAAAAATAAAATAATTTGCATTTTATTTCAAGTTTGAAATTAATGCAAAAATATAATGCAAGTAAAATCAAATAAAGATATAAATTGGCAAAATATTTGACTAATTTCAAATCACAAAACAGCCAATATGGTTGTTTTATGATTTGAAACTAGTCAAATATTTTTCCAATTTTTTTGCTTTATTTCATTTTCTTCATTACATTTTTGCGCTACTACAAAGTTAAATTTCAAAAAGCCCGCTCGTGGCGGCCATATTGAATTTTAATACCACTCCAATTTGATAGATGGCAGCACATCGACTCAAAATTTTACCATTGAGTTTCCCATCTATTCACATTAGTAATCTATGGTTTTACCACTTAAAATGCATGAAAATTTTTTTTTCCAAATTTTGCATTTATGGAAAAAATTGTAAAAAGTGAGAATTATAGAGAATAATATTAAAAGTAACTTTTATTTAAAGAATTTTCTTCGCCAAACATAAATAACAGATATATTCAATAAAATATAAAACGACCTCCCATAAAGTAACCCCGTCCCCAGATGTTCCGACTTTGTCCAAAATCTAATCAATTCACCACAGGTCGGAATAACGCTTCAATTTAACAAATAATGTTTTTTCTTTATCCGCTTTCGAGTTTTCTTCAAAATTCTAAATTTACACTAATTATCAAATATCTCGAATTCGGTCCACTTTAGAGAAATTATGTATAAGACAAGAATTATAGAAAATTGTATCACAAACAACTTTTATATAAATAATTTTCATAAAAATTTGAATTTTTTACATTTTGTCAAATTTCTGGAATACGAACCATTTTAGCAAAATTTTGTATATAACAAAAATTGTAGAAAATATTATTTGAATTAACTTTTATTCAAAGAATTTTCTTCTACAACCGTAAATAACAAATATATTCCATAAAATATAAAAATTACCCCCTATAAAGTACCCCCAAGTGCCAACTGTGCTCAAAATCTAATCAGTTCACCGCAGGCCGGAATAAGACTTAATTTTAAAATTTGGTATTTTTCTGTTTATCCGTTCATGAGTTATCGAGTATACAGACACCACACAGACAGCATCGTGAAAATAGTCAAAACGGAATCAGGGGATCCCAAAATGTAAAAATCCGTCAAAAAAACGATGTCGAAAAAAATCATGATTACTATACTTTCCTTATCTGTATACAGATAGGAAAGTAAAAAAACATACAATGTAAACAAAAATACAGAAGAGATAATAATAATAATAATAATAAAATTTAAACTATGCTGCAATAATCAGTGTGATAAATTTATTATATTTTCAATAAATATTTTAAGTACTTTTTCAGTTGATTTTAAGAATATAAATTGGCTTAAAAGTTTGCTCTTACTTTTAACTCTTCTCAACTAATTTGTGAACCCAAAAATGCATTTGAAAGGCCAGGATCGATGTTTTCACATGCATCTTGTTCCAATTTTCACGTAAATCCAGCCAGAAAAAACAAAACTCAACATTATATTTAATATCTGACAAATTACGTTCTTATATTTTGTAATATAAAAATGAAACATTTTACAAAATCTCTACACGTTTGAAATGTTTCTCCAAAACCAGACTTAACACAATTTACTTAATTTTTGTAATAAAATAACGAACTTCCTTGCTTCCGATACTTCATAACAATATGACAACGTTGCTCGATATAAATTTGATATTTTCAGGTGGCGTCATCTATATAAGATTGCCTGAACCTAAAATTACAGGAATTACACCTGTTTTATGTAATGTTGGTTGCGTTTTTTGGGTTAAAATTAAAAATTTTTGTGCATATAAGACTGGAAAATGAAAGCAAAAAATTAAATATTTCTTATGCGGAGCCTCTAATGGGAATATATTCTAGTTCCTGAAATAGTTTTTATAGCGATTTATGATGACTTTTTTACATGTAAAATTTTCACAAATTCGTTATTTTCTTCATTCTCTCAATTTTTTTCCACTTTAAAATATATTCAGGAACTAGTTCAATACTATTAGAATATTATAAAAGCAAATCCGCATAAATTCATTGTCTAGAAAGCCCGTCTTATATGTTGAAAAATTCTCCTATGCTAATACATTTGCTAACGCCGCCTTAAATGGTAAAACTTGAAATTTAAATAGTAAGTATTTAAAATTGATAAGAGCTCAAACTTGGTGATTTTTTTTTTCTATATGTAGATTAATATTTTGCTCGAGCACCGAAAAAAAAAAAAAAAAAACTTTGCGGAAATGAATCACCCTACTGCGCATCTAAGTATGAGCCCAAACAACTATATTTTGGGATAATTATGAGTTTTTCATAGATTAAGTAGGTTTTTAAAATACTTAGTGATAATTGGCAAGCATAATACAAAATATTACAGTATCATGATCAGCAACTACTTTTAAATTTGAAATAGTATATAACATTATGAGTTGGAAATACTGTCGAGTGCGACAATTACGCGAGTGAAAAATCACTTTTACACAAGTATAATATTTTTCCTACGACCACAAAGTAATTTTATCAAAAAAATGTAAAACTAGGAAATCTTACTATAAAGGTTCCATCAAGATGTGACTGGTTTTAGATTTGTTTTTTATATGCCCTTTTAAATAAATTTTAAAGCGTTATACAGATAGTGCTTTGTCATAATTAAAGATATTGTGATTCCATTTACAATTTCATAAGATGATAAAGATGAAATAAAATTTGGTACAAAAAATATTAGAATACATTGTTTTTCATTAGTTTTTTT